AAAAAAAAAAAAAAAAAGAAAATTGCTTAATTGAGTTTGTAGATGGGACCAAATATTATACAGAGGCCTCTTTAAAGTGACTCTAGGCAGGTGCCGTGGCTCACGCCTGCAATCCCGGCACTTTGGAAGGCCAGAGCATGTGGATCACTTGAGCTCAGGAGTTTGAGACCAGTCTGGGCAACATGGTGAAATCCCATCACTACTAAAAATATAAAAAAATTAGTCAGGCGTGGTGGCGTGTGCTTGTAATCCCAGCTGCTCTGGAGGCTGAGGCAGGAGAATCACTTGAACCTGGGAGGTGGAGGTCGCGGTGAGCTGAGATCATCCTACTGCAATTCCGGCGGGGCGATGGAGCGGGACTCCATCTCAAAAAAAAAAAAAAAAAGACTTGTAAAATCTTCTAGGCTTACAGAGGGAATAATTGATGTTTGCAAAATTGAACTTAACAGGTTAATAAATTGGGTTTTGAATTTATAACTTCAATTTATTGAAATTAAATTTCAATAAATCAAATCCTAATTGTTGAAATTTAATGTAAATCCAAGCATAGCCACCTTGCCCAGGCACTAAGCCAGCCCTCAGCCCCATTCCCAGCCCTCCCTGTGAGGGGTAGGTGTGGGGTGCCCTGGCAAAGGTCCAGGCTCTGCCCTGCAGGCCCAGGTCTGACCTGCCCTGAGGCCGTCCTGCCTGCCCCTGGCCTGTCTTTATTGGGCATGGGGGGACAGAGGAGGGCAGAGGCAGCCCCGTGGGGCGAGGGGGCCTGTGGAGATGAGCCTTTCTGCTGCTGAGTGGATTCCTGGCCCCTGCTCTGGGACACCCCATCCCTTACCTGGGATGTTCCTGAGTCCCCAGCCTGAGGATGCCTCTCAGAGACATACTCAGAAGCACTCGCAGGCTGGGTGCGGTGGCTCATGCCTGTAATCCGAGCACTTTGGGAGGCTGAGGTGGGAGGATCACTTGAGCCCAGGAGGCCAAGGCGGCAGTGAGCCGTGATTGCACCGCCACACTCCAGCCTGGGTGACAGATAGGACCCTGCCTCAGAAAAAAAAAATTACTCCCACCTGGTTGTTGGAGGTACCTGGTGGCTGTGGGGTCTTTGGGGCTGGGCTGTGTCTTCCCCAGGCTGGCCAGTGCTCCCGGGTGGGGTGCAGGCGGCTCCCGGACGCTCCTCACGTGCACAGTCAGCATGGGCAGGGCCTTTCCCGACAGTGCCAGCCCCGTGACTGTGTCCTGTTCTGACTAGGAGACCTTGGCCTGGGTCACCCAGAGGGCAGGACCTGGGCCACTGTTGCTGACCATGTCCTGTCACTCCTAGGCCTTGAAACATTCCAATGTAGAGGCCGGAAGCCCAGGAAGAGAAGAACAGAGGGACACACACCAGCAGTCCCTGCTGCTGAACCCTCCCCACCTGTGGACGGGGACATCCTCTCTTTGTGCTGCCATAAGCAAATCCAGGGCAAGCGGGAGGGGAAGTAGCACACTCACGCTCGGCGGAAGCTTCTGGAGCCAGTGCCAGAGCCAGCACAGCAGATATCCCGTCTGTGTCCCATGTGTGGGCCCCCGTGGCCCAGCTGGCCCTGACCAGTGACAGTTGCGTTTAGGTGACTGGTTGGCTGCCAGGCTGATGTGGAGCCCTGAAGCTGGCATCTGTGGTGGCACGTGGCCCTAGCTTTGTGGATTTGCCCTTTGCAAAGGGCTGTGTGCATCACGGTATCATCGTGGGTTTCACGCTTCTCACTATCCCACAGCCAACTTAAGGTACCGAAAGCTGGCCAGATGTGGCGGCTCACATTTTGGGAGGCTGAGATGGGCAGATTCCTAGAGCCTCAGGAGTTTGAGACCAGCCTGGACAACATGGTGAAAGCTCGTCTCTACAAAAAATTTTAAAATTAGCTGGTCATGGTGGCGTGCATCTACAGTCCTGGCTACTCGGAAGGCTGTGTGGGAGGGTCATCTGAGCACAGGGAGGTCAAGGCTACAGAGAACTGTGATTACCCCACTGCACTCCTGCCTGGGTGACAGAGACAGACCCTGTCTCAAAAGAAAAAAAAATCCAGAAGCAAAGGAGAGGGGCTGGCTGCCTGGCCTTGATGAGATCAAGAGGCAGCATTTCTCATTGGTGGTAGTGGCCTGTAATCCCAGCTACTCAGAAGCCTGAGCCAGAGAATCACTTGAAACCAGGAGGTGGAGGCTGCAGTGAGTCAAGATTGCACCGCTGCACTCCAGCCTGGGCGACAGAGCGAGACTCTCTCTCTCAAAAAAAAGTAGTAATAATAGGGTCTCCACAGAGGCATCCAGGGTGAGGGTCTTGGAATGAAATCATTCTGGGTAATAGGGTGGACCCTAAATCCAATGACAGGGGTCCTTGTAAGAAGAGAAGGGAGGGGGCATAGCGGCTCACGCCTGTAATCCCAGCCCTTTGGCAGGCCGAGGCGGGTGGATCACTTGACGTCAGGAGTCCAGACCAGCCTGGCCAACACGGTGAAAACCCTACTAAACATACAAACATTAGCCGGCATGATGGCAAGCACCTGTAATCCCAGCTGCTTGGGAGGCTGAGGCAGGAGAACCGTTTGAGCCTGGGAGGCGGAGGTTGCAGTGAGCCGAGATCACACCACT